TCTTGTCGTTCTTTGGCGCGGGGGCCTTCGCGGCGGCAGCAGACTTGGCGGGCATCTTATTGATGTTCTTGTTACTCGAAGGTCGAGGTAAAAAGTATTGCTTACTTGCTGAAAGTAATTGCAGGAAGAAAAGAAGAGAAGACATGTCGTGTAATGTCCATTCCTGACGCAGTGCTCCTGCTCAGTCTAAATCACCAAAAGCAATCATCGCCAAATGGAGGAAGCGCTGCCTAGCGACTAGCGCACAGCCTCCCTTCGGCAACCTGCGACAACAATAACGTAGAGTTTCTGCTCACCGTTCGGCATATGCACCACTTGCGGCCAGTGCGCAACGGCAAGGCTCGAGCCAAGACCAACGGAGCGCAGCGCATCCAGCCCACGACCCACGAAATGCGCCTCAAAGCGCTCTGGAAAGAGCGCTATAGGCCCACAGAAGCCCTCGAACGGGAAAGAGCGTCCCAAAATACCGACCAATTTCACACAGCATTCGCGAAGGCCCCAGTGCTGTGCCAGCGTAACAGCAGCGGGGTCAACGGCTTCTCCGTACATCTGCTGGAGTNCACACAGCATTCGCGAAGGCCCCAGTGCTGTGCCAGCGTAACAGCAGCGGGGTCAACGGCTTCTCCGTACATCTGCTGGAGTCCTGCAATCTCATCCGCAGTGGACGCGGAAGGCACACAACATGGCATGCAGCGAGCACAAAACTGTGGGTAGCGGGAAGATGTGCGCGCCACCTGCTGCACATCCACCACATCGATGCCAAGGGAGTACGGAGCATCACTCCGCCACGCCACCGCCGCACCGACGAGGTCCTCGTGTGCAAGAGAGAGTCGGGCACCGTACTGCCAAGCGTCCGCTCTGGTACCCACAAGTGGGACGGAAGTCCCCACTACCGCCGAAAGGGCCGCAGACGCCGCGAGACGCGAAAGGACATACGGTGTACGGTGATTGACGTGCAGTAGCTCTGCTTTCCGCCTCACTTCGGCGGCAGCGGCAGCGTCACTGGACTCTGTTGGTAGCAACGACACGAACACATCAATGGCAGGAACTCCGTTGAGGGCGAAGCATAATTTTCTCAGCCCCATTACCTCCGCGTGCGTAACACAGGCAATTGCAACGCCGCAGCGTCAGCCACGTTCAAACACTCTCAATCACCGCCTGCGCGAAATAGAAAAGAAAAACAAGCAGAGAGCAAGCAAAGCAAACAAAACAAAAAAGAAAATAGGAAACAAAACACTCAGCACCTCAGGTAAATCCACAGGGCCATTACCAAATTACAAACACCACAGCGCGCACGACAAGTGAATCAGATTAAAAAAAGAACAAAAAAATACAACACATCACAGAACTTCAGTTTTACTTCGTGTGGGTCACCTTCTTGAAGTTGTGGGCGTCCATGAGCAGCTTCGCGCGATCCGCACGGCTCTTCTCCTTCTCAAGGGAGC